TCAGAGGCACAGGCCTGACACTGGCCGGAGCACCAACAGCCTGTCATCCACACGGCTCAAAAGAAAAGGGATAAAAAAAGAAGGAAATAAATTAATAAATAAAATAAGGTAAAGTTATTAAAATAAAAAAATTATTAAAAATAAAAAATATTTTAAAGTAATTTTTTAAAAAGGAGAAAAAAATGGTCAGACGGAACCCTAGGACAAATGGTAAAAGCAAAGCTCTACAGAAAAAATCACACAAAGAAGCATACACATACAAACTCACAAAAAGAGAAAAAGGAAAAAAATATGTATATCTTTTGGGAAGTCTGAGGTCTTCTGCCAGCGTTCAGTAGGTGTTCTGTAGGAGTTGTTCCACATGTGGATGTATTTCTGATGTATCTGTGGAAAGGAAGGTGATCTCCACGTCTTACTCCTCCACCATCTTGAAGGTCTCCCCTAGTCACTGATTTTTGACTTTACCGTTATACTACACAAAGGTTAGTTTTCCCTCCTATCTCTAATTGAGACAAATAAGATCATTGTGAGTAAGGATCCTCTTTCAGTTTAAGCAGTATTTTGTGTTTTTTCAATGAGAAAATAGAAACTATGTTCTGTTCTAAGCATTTTCATATACAGGCAGTCCCCTTCTAATGAACACTTGACTTATGAATGTCCCATACTCATCAACAGCCTCTCTGAAAGGACTTTAAGCTACTCCTACTACCCGTGGAAGCTGGAGTTGTTTCTTCCATCTGCAGGAGTTGTTTTCTCCCTCAGCTCTCCTCTTCTGGGAGCCTGAGTTCTCACAAGCTCCCATCAGACCTTTTGGAAGAATTAACACGTGAGCACATTCTCCTGCTGCTGCCAGGACACAAGAAGGTGCTGGTGACCGTGCCAACAATCCCCATAGGAGCTGAGCCCATGAAGGAACACAAAGAGTATAAAGAAAATTCTGGAATTCTGGTTGGTGATGGTGGGGAGGTTCTCCATTTGTGCTCAAAATTCCTTTGCGCTAGAAATAGCATTATACTATAATAACATATCTATGTAAAACTGAGTTTTCTGACTGACTCACTTATCCAGACCACAGCCAAGAATAAGCAGTAAACAAATGGCCTCTAAGCCGCCAGAGAATATGCATCTTTACTTATTGGAAAAGCCATTCAAAAACACACTGATTGCCTATTTATTCTGTTTGTGCATGATTCTAATTAGTTTTAATGAGATGTGAGATGTCAAGCCTATAGGAGGTTATAAGCAGCAAATTTGAAGAGACTGGAAAAATGTTATAAGTAGATGAAGTGAAATATGATAGTTGACAGCAAGGTAAGAGACCAAAAAAGCATTAAAAATAAGTTTAAGAACTCAAAAGCCAACCACAATGAAAAACTCCTTCACAACCACAAGCATGGCTAAAATGAAAAATTGACAACAACAAACTTAGTGAAAATGCAGAGCAGTGGATTGCTCACACATTACCAGTGGGAGTAGAAAAAGGTACAGTCACTGGAAAATAGTTTGACAGTTCCCTTACAGTAAATAGTTACCATATAGCCCAGAGGTTCCAGTCCTAGGTGTTTACCCAAGAAAAATGAAGACATATATCCCCTCAAAGCCTCATACTCATATCAGCTTTATTCATAATAGCCCCAAACTGGAAATAACCCAAATGTCCCTCAAAAGGCAAATGCATTAAAAAGTTATAGTATATCCGTACAATTAAATACTACTCAGGAAGGAAAAGGAATGAACTACTGATACTCACAACAACGTGGATGAGTCTCACAGACATTGTGCTGAGGGAAAGAAGCAACACAAAAGTCATATAAACATATTGTATGATCCCATTTATGTGGGGTTCTAGAATGGGGAAAGCTAAGCTATGGTGATAGAATCAGAACAGTGGTTGCCTGAGGTTGGAGTAGCACTGAAGAATGACTGGAAGGGACACAAGGGAAAATTCTGGGGTGATGGAAATGTTCCATATCTTGATTTGGGTGGTGGTTACAAAGGTGTGTATTTTTCAAACTGTATGCTTGAAATGTGTGCACTTTATTGTATGTAAATTTTAGCTAAAATTTTCATAAAGTACATAATTTACAAAAGGAGAAAATCCTTCAGAGGACCCCCCTGCTACAGGGTAAAATCTTAACTCCTTAACATGATCTGGCCTTTGTTTAATGTCTTTTGGCTCATTCCTTACCATTCCTCCCCAACTCCTACCACTTACTTTATGCTACTTGTATTTCCAAAAACTGCTTCTCTGTCTATTTCCTCTGAACCTTGAAGCACAATGCTCACTTTGCCTGGAATTCCTTTTCATTTTCTCATTCATCACTAAATCCTCAATATCCTTCAGGACTCACAGAGGTAGCACCTCCTCCAAAAAGCCTTGTCCACTCCCAGTCTGTATTAGGTACTTTCCCTCTTCCTCCCGGAGAACTTTATGCTTCTCTCTAACAAAGCATGTATTGCTCTGTAATGTTAAGTGTAACTTTAAAAAAGCCTGAAAACCATAGTGGACTGGTGCCATTTAATGTACAGGCAAATAGTCTTCTACATATTCAGTAAACCCTGAGTGAAATCATATATTATAGACTAATTTCTATCCAAAATAGCTGAACTGAGTTTAAGCACTCAAATTTATCATGAAAACTCTTCTATCCAGAATTACTTGTTCTTCTAGAGCTGCCAATGATTGAGATTTTAGTGTAAATAGCAGTTGGGTATTATATTATTACTAGTATAATAGCTTATTTATATTGTGGGTTAAGTAACTTTCTATGGGCTTTATCTGGAAACCTAGCCAGACTTTATTACATTGATTCTATGGGAAAGTGCATTTTACATTCCAGTCAAGTGACAAAAACACTGCTCAGTTGAACCATGTGAAATTGCTGATATTCAACCATTTTTGACATACTAAAATGGCAGTTTCATGTGATTCAACCTAAATATTTTTAAATACAACCCTATGGCAAGTTGGAGATTGTTAATTATGTATTTAATACATGAATATATTCTGTAAGTTGCTAATCTTGTATATTAAGGCTATTGGGTATAATTGTTTTACATAAACAGTAAATTACAGGATTTTCAAGAAAGTTTGTGTAGAATGTTAAGGCTTACTTGAGTTCTACCCATCTTTTTTCCAGTTAATCACAGATGCAGCAGACATGAGGATATTCTGGAATTGTTTATTTTTTGAACCAACAATAGGGTGAAAATGCAGATTCATTTCTTCTTTTTAACCTCCAAACTATCTAACCAGTCTATTTTTAATATTAATTTTTTTTTTTTTTGCGGTATGCGGGCCTCTCACTGTTGTGGCCTCTCCCTCTGCAGAGCACAGGCTCCGGATGCACAGGCTCAGTGGCCATGGCTCATGGGCCCAGCCACTCCACGGCATGTGGGATCTTCCCAGACCGGGGCACGAACCCGTGTCCCCTGCATCGGCAGGCGGACTCTCAACCACTGCGCCACCAGGGAAGCCCTAATATTAATTTTAATTACAATAATAGCTAACATTTATTGAATGCATATTACATGCTGGGTAATGTGCAAACCCAAGTACTTTATGAGCAAAGTACTATTATTATCCCTATTTACAGATGAGGAAATTAAAGCTTAAGGACCTTGCCCAAGGTTACACAGCTATAAGTGGCAGAGTCGGGTTTGGAATCACTTTCAGTCCTACTACTCTGCCCACTGTTTACCTCAGGCACATTTTTTTTAACCACAAGTAAGCACTCATGCGAAAAATTATGATTCAATTCAGCAAGTATATATTTAAGCTGTGATTATCATTAGTGATACCAGGCCCATTTACAAATGAAATATATTGTATTATTATGAGAGACCATCATAAGACAGTAGAGGGCTAAGTACCAAAATGCTGTAAGCATTCTGTTGGAATCTAGGAAAGGGAGAGAATAATTGTGTGCTTTATCATTATTAACTCCCAGAAGAGCGTTGGCATAAATGGTACCATCCAATCATAACTGGATGCACAGCATTCTGGGAACAAGCCAAAAGTTCAGCATAAATAGAAATGTGGAAAAATCATGGATGTATAATAATGAAGTTCAAGAGGGTGTAGCAAGCCCAAGTCTAATTCTGGGCAGACATCAGTAGTATGTAAGGGAAGTTAAAAATCTATGACTGGGCTCTCTGAACCCCAGAAGTATACTGACAGGTAGGACTGAATGATTACTCATTAGGTATTTGGGGCAGATGAGAGGGGGGCAGAAGAGATTATCCAAAATTTCGTGCCTACATTTTTGGGATAATAATGTCATCAATAATAAAAGAATTTGTGCAGTGGAGGGGAGGATGGGCTCAGGCTTTAGACACTCTAATTTTTTTTTATTGGAAGTATAGTTGATTTACAATGTTGTGTTAGTTTCAGGTGTACAGCACTGTGGTTCAGATGAAAACAATATATATATATATATATATATATATATATATTCGTTTTCAAACTCTTTTCCCTTATAGGTTATTAAAAAATATTTATACTTCTCTGTGCTATACAGTAGGTCCATGTTGTTTACCTATTCTATACACAGTAGTGAGTATATGTTAATCCCAAACTCCTAATTCATCCCTCCCCCTCTTTCCCCTTCGGTAACCATAAATTTGTTTTCTATGTCTGTGGGTCTATTTCTGGTTTGTAAATAAGTTCATTTGTATCTTTTTTTTAGATTCCACATATAAGCAATATTATATGATATTTATCTTTGTCTAGCTTACCTCACTTAGTATGATAATCTCTAGGTCCATCCATGTTTCTGCAAATGGCAACATTTCATTTTTTATGATTAATATTCCATTGTATATTCCATTTTATACACACACACACACACACACACACACACACACACTACATTTTTATCCATTCATCTTAAACACTCTGAATTTAAGGTGAAGGCAGACTGTCTACAGAAAGCCAGTTTTTTATGTTGGCTATAGTTTACTGGGGTCAACCTTTGACTTATCTACTTGTTATTTTTCAGGTGGCCCTTCTGAATTTCTTCATCCCTGAAGAAAAGTCATACTCTGAAGAGGAGAGTAGGCGTGTTCGCCGCAATAAAAGAAGCAAAAGCAGTGAAGGAGCAGATGGTAAGTCAATTTGGGTGATCCTTTATCACATATCAGTGGATGAGAGTACCATCCTGAGAACTACCTTTTCAAGTGTACTTCACCATCTCCTATATTTTCCACAGACGCAAGGTCACAGAAGGTTTTTCTAGCTTAACCTACCTAACCTACTCTTTTGACATAGAACTGACTGTACAAGGATCCTGTCTCCTCCAACCCCAGTAACTTTAGTCCTTTCACAGTATGTCTGATAGCCATGGTAGCATTTGTACCTCTCAAGATCACCCTCCATAAGGACTTCATCTCTCCTGGGGACATCCTATATCTACTAAGGCCACCAAGAGGATTCAGTCCTATTCTTGGAATGACAGAGTACTGTGCCATGGAGGCACTTACATGATATGTTAAATCCAATGATAATTATGTCACTGTTCGTGTCAGCTACCATGCCTCTAGAACTCATCTGTAAGTTCCTTGAGGGCTGGGATTCATTTCTCTTTGTAAAGCTCCAGAATCTAGCCTAGTATCTAGCAAATTGTTGGTGTTTGTAATGTAAGTTGGTAATGTTGATTGCCTCTTCAGCTGGGTTATGATGTGCCATGAAAACCATCCCTATTGAAGGTGAAACAGATTTGAGTTAACTAACAATGCATTTTGTGGGGCGTAACAAAATGTTGAGCTAGCTCCTGGGCAGGGTCTTTGAATCGCTCTGTTTTAACATCATTCCTTCAATTGACAGAATGCTACCTCTTTAGAGTAGGAGTTTGTAGAATGCATAGCTATGGGCTGTTGTAAAGCCATCTGGATTCAAAGATAGCACGTGGCTGGCTAAGTCTGCCAAAGATATATGTTCTGGAGGGTTACAAAGCAATATGACTTTATGAAGGTGAAAATCGGATTTTTTTAAGGCTGACATTTGTCAATGTAAGTAAGGGCCAGCGATGGAAGCAGTTCCAGACCGCATGAGCAATTGAAGCAATGGGGCCAGGACTTTGTCATTTGGGACAAAAAGAGGTAAAACTGGATGAAGTCTGAAAAAGAGCTCAGAAGAAGGACCTGTAATAAAAGAGAGTCAGAAATAAGTAGGCTGTTTTTAGTCAATGGAGGTGGCAGCTTTGAGCCCTTCAATGGAGAAATGGACCAGCGGGGCCATTCTCTAGAGCAGATACTTTGCATACAATTCATGACCAAGTTCAAGCCTAGGAAATGTGGTCCATGAAGTAATAGGCACCCATTATTCATATACTGCTTGCCGCCAGTTTCCTGGAAGTCTTCAGAAAGCTATGTAGAAACTGAGAACTGAGAATCAAGGTCCCTTTCCTCTCCTTATCATCTTACTCTTTGATGCATGTAGGTCTTTCCACCTTTGACTCTTCCCCTGAACTATTCCCAGTACCACAAAATCTTTCATATTCCCTGATTGCTAAGGAAGAGAAAAGAGGTGGTAAGAGCAATATCACCTCCTGTAGTGGGCATGGTCTTCCCTTCCTCTCCACGGGAGAGGTCCAATAGCTTCTAAAGTTTACATCTTCATCTGGCCTTCCAAGTTTTCTCGTAAAGAAGGCAGCTTCCTTCACTCTCCCAAACCACTTTATCTGGATCTGGCTACTAGCATCTCTGCTATTGATTGTTTATTCTGTTTTGATACAAAATAGTTTTTCCCTCTGTTGAAGGCCAAAGCATCTCATTAATTTTTAGTACTTCTTATCTAATTCCCTCCTGGTCTGATACTCTTGTCAGTCACTAGACACTAGTCACTTTGTGCCAGTGCCTAATTTCTCATGCAATCCCAGAGATTTTCTTTAAACAGTATAGCAGGGAGGAATCCAAGAGCCCCTTTTAGTTAGGAGAATAGAATACTTGGGGGTTCTGGGATTTGATTAGATTTCCAACCTTTCACCTGGGAGGCTATAGCACCACTTCTTTAGATGTGGTGGGTGCTCCAGTGATTTAGAGGGTGACAAGCCAATCCAAATCTCCTTTACTTTGGAACCATTCCTCTTACTCTGCTGAGTGTATGGTATATTTATTCAAAACATTCTTCAAATATTTACTGAGAAAATACAGCAGTTTCTATAATACTAGAATGAAAATGCCATAAGGATAATCGTGTTTATTTACTTTTACATCCTCATTGCCCAGGAAATGCCCCGGCACATAGTAGACCCTCAATAAATACTTCTTGTTGCCCTCAAAAAGCTTAACTTCCAGTGTAAAGAGACAGATAATAAACAAAATTGGTGGTGGTAAGTGTTGTGGAGAAAAATATACCAGGGCAAGAGGGAGAGAACGTGATGAAGTGTGCTGTAAGTTGATCAGGGAAGGTCCCTCTAATAAGGAAACATCTGAGAAGAGACCTGAATGAAATGAAGGTGTGAGCCATGTGAATATCTGGACTGGGGGCAGGGAAAGGAGGAGAGAAGAAGCAGTAAATACAAATGCTCTGAAATAGAAGAATGCTTGATATGTTCCAGAAAGATCAGTGTGGCTAGGAGCAGAGTGAGCAAGAAGGAGAAGGAAGGAAATGAGATCAGAGGGGGGAGTCAAATTTAGAGCCTTGTTGTAGGCCAAGCTAAGGACTCTGACCTTCACCCTGCATGAGATGGGGAACCATTGGAAAATTTTGAGCAGAGGCATGACAGGAACTGACTTATGTTGTAAGAGAATCCCTCTGGCTGCTGCAGGGAGAAAGGACAGAAGCAGAAAGATGTGTAGGGGAGTGTAACAATAACCCAGGTGAGAGATGATGGTAGTTTAGACCAGGATGGAGGCAATGGGGGTGGGTGGGGAGGGGTGGTCAGATTGTGGACAGATCTTTGAAGGAAGAGCTGACAAGATTTGGAGGTTCACTAGATAAGGGGTATGAAAGAGAAAACCAAGGATGACCCCACAGTTTTGAACCTAAGGAATTAGACTAGTAGATTTGCCATTTCTGAGACGGAGAAACAGGAGAAAAGGAATGTAAAGGTATGTAAAGAAGGAATCAAGAGTTCAGTTAGGCATGCTAAGTTTGAGGTGTCTACTAGGCACTAAGTATATATGTTAAAGAGGCAGCTGGGTATATAAATCTACACTGTATATCAAGACAGTGTGTCTCAAGACAATGAGCTGACTCTTATAAGAATAAAGAACTTCTCATTGAAGAAGTGAGTCAGTCTGTAAACCATATGAATAGAGTAGGAGGTTGGATGGGATAGGTAAATCAGAGGGGGGTGAGTTAAAGCCAAAAACAACAAAGCCTATTAGGTGTTGTTTCTAAATCCACAAGTTACTTGATATATTATAATAAAAAGTTAACTATCCAGGGACTTCCCTGGTGGCGCAGTGGTTAAGAATCCGCCTGCCATTGCAGGGTACACAGGTTAGAGCCCGGGTCTGGGAAGATCCCACATGCCGCGGAGCAACTAAGCCCGTGTGCCACAACTACTAAGCCTGTGCTCTAGAGCCCACAAGCCACAACTACTGAAGCCCGCACACCTAGAGCCCATGCTCCGCAAAAAGAGAAGCCACAGCGATGAGAAGCCCGCACACCGCAACAAAGAGTAGCCCCCGCTCACCACTAGAGAAAGCCCGTGTGCAGCAATGAAGACCCAACACAGCCAAAAATAAATAAATAAATTTATTTAAAAAAAAAATTTACCTATGCAGCTCAGGTTTGCATCACAAATACCAAAAAAAAAAAAAAAAAGTCATTTACTTTGAACATGTAAGAGCCTGACAGGCATTTCAGGAAGAAAACATTTTTCAAAGGTCAAAAATAGAGATAAGTTTAAAAAGAGAGCAGGAAAATCAGTTCTAATTCCTTGTGTAATTTTTTGATGTTACTATAATTTCACTTCTCAAAACTTTATTTTATTGTCATTTAACAAGACTTCTAGGCACTAACAGAAATATAAAGATGAATAAGACCCTCAGAGAAGCTTACATTTTAAGGAGGGAGCAGATACATTTATTGGCAACAGGTTAAAAATTAAGCAAAGGTAGGGTGAAGCTGAGTCCTAGAGTTTTACCTTACACAGTACATAGAAGACACTCACACATTTGTTAAATGAATAACCAAACAAGAAAGTGGGCAGGGGGTGGAAGGAGTCTAGATTTTTTTCTGTCTAGGAACTATAGGCATTAAGCTTGATGATCTTCACTAATCCCTGTGGGAGAAAAAAGTCTTAACAAATGGTTCATTCACACTTAGGAAAAGCAAGGGACGTCAGGATCCTTAGGAGCCTGCATAGGTTCACCAAGAATAAATCAGACTGTTTTCCTGTTTTCACCAGACTGCTAAACTAGTTGCTTAGGGGCATAACATATACATAGTCTACCTTTTTTAAATTTATTTTTTATTGAGGTATAGTTGATTTACAATGTTGTGTTAGTTTCAGGTGTATAGCAAAGTGATCTAGTTTTATATATATATGTGATATTTATACACATATATAAATAATATTTATGCACACATATGTATATATGTATATATTCTTTTCCCATATAGGTTATTACAAAATATTCAGTATAGTTCCCTGTGCCATACAGTAAGTCCTTGTCTTTCATCTATGTTATACATAGTAGTGTGTATATGTTACTCCCAAATTCCTAATTTATCCCTCCCCCCACATTTCCCCTTCGGTAACCATAACACATAGTCGATCTTGCCTTAAAAAAATGTCAGTGCCTATATCCAGGTCATACCCAGTCTTTCTGACCCACCATTCAAGAAATGATTGGATTCATCTCATTTTCTTCCTTTGGATTACTCTATAAATGAAGGCATTGACTAGGAAGCAGGAGTCCCAAACACAGGGTTAGTTTTCCTCCAGTATAAATCGTGGCACTTTATAACTTAAAGAAAATGCGTGAGATCTTTTTATTTACTACATCTCTATCTTAAATTTACTGCTCCTGTTTTGAGTTGGCCAAAAGTAATTGATATCAGATTTAAGTTCATTTTTGCTAATTATATGAGGCCTTTCGCTTATTGTTGTTCTGCAAGGAAAGCACGATCCCTTCATTGAAGGTGTTGTGAG